CTTCCAATCGGTGTATCAGGTTGGAAGACATCGAAGCATCTCATATGTTGGAACGAACTCGACACTTGTCATATTCAATGGATGATCGTGATTTTGGTAAACTGAAAATCCTCAAGAAATTGGAGCAATTGAGGACATTGCTTACCATCAATATCCGGTGGTATTCATCCCATCTAAGCAAGAGGGTGCTGCATGACATATTGCCAAGACTAACATCCCTAAGGGCACTATCACTGTCTCAGTATCAGAATAAGGAGTTGCCAAATGACTTGTTTATCAAATTAAACCACCTAAGATTTTTGGACCTTTCTTGGACATTTATAAAAAAGTTGCCAGATTCTATTTGTGTACTGTACAACTTAGAGACACTTCTGTTGTCACATTGTATTTTTCTTAAGGAGCTACCTCTGCATATGGAAAAATTGATCAACTTGCGTCACCTTGACATTAGCGAAGGTCGTTTGGAGACACTGCTACATCTAAGCAAGTTGAAAAGTCTCGATGTTCTAGTGGGAGCCAAGTTTCTTCTAAGTGGTCGTAGTGGTTCGAGAATGGAAGATTTGGGTGAACTGCATAACTTGTATGGATCTCTATCAATTCTAGAGTTGCAACATGTGGTAGATAGAAGGGAATCTCTGAAGGCAAACATGAGGGAAAAGAAACATGTTGAAAGGTTATCTTTGGAGTGGAGCGGAAGTTTTGCTGACAATTCACAAACTGAAAGAGAGATACTTGATGAGCTACAACCAAATACAAACATAAAAGAAGTCGAAATCACTGGATATAGAGGGACAAAATTTCCAAATTGGCTTGGTGATCATTCATTTCATAAGCTAATAAACTTGTCTCTTAGCAACGGCAAAGACTGTGATTCCTTGCCAGCGCTAGGACAGCTTCCTTGTTTAAAATTCCTTACCATTAGAGGGATGCGTCAAATAACAGAGGTGACTGAAGAGTTCTATGGTAGTTTGTCTTCCACAAAGCCATTTAATTCTCTTGAGAAGCTTCAATTCGCACTGATGCCGGAGTGGAAGCAGTGGCATGTACTGGGGAAGGGAGAGTTCCCTGTACTTGAGGAACTTTTGATTGATGGTTGCCCAAAGTTGATTGGGAAGTTGCCAGAAAATCTTTCTTCTCTGAGAAGTTTGAGGATATCAAAATGCCCTGAACTCAGTTTGGAGACACCTATTCAACTTGAAGGAATGAAACAGATTGTTGAATTAGTAATTACTGATTGTAAGTCTCTTACCTCCTTACCAATTAGCATTCTGCCGAGTACCTTGAAGAGAACAAGAATATCTGGTTGCGGGGAACTGAAATTGGAGTCATCAATGAATACTATGTTTCTCGGAGAATTGTCTCTAGTAGGATGTGATTCACCTGAGTTGTTCCCAAGAGCACGCGATTTGAATGTAAGTAGTTGCCACAACCTTAATAGGCTTTTGGTTCCTATTGCCACTGAAACACTCAGTATTAGAGATTGTGAGAATCTTGAAATACTTTCAGTGGCATGTGGGACTCAGATGACATCATTGCATATTTACAACTGCAAGAAGCTAAAGTCACTGCCAGAGCATATGCAGGAACTCCTTCCATCTCTTAAGGTACTGGATATTCGAAATTGTCCAGAAATAGAGTCCTTTCCTGAAGGAGGATTGCCCTTCAACTTACAACGACTTCAGATCGACTATTGCAAGAAACTGGTGAATGGCCGAAAGGAGTGGCATTTACAGAGACTCCCCTGTCTCAGAAATTTAACCATCTACCATGATGGTACCAATCTTTCTGGTGAAAAATGGGAGTTGCCTTGCTCTATTCGAAGTCTTGCTATATCCAATCTGAAAACATTGAGCAGCCAACTTCTCAAATGCCTCACCTCTCTTGAGTTTCTATATGCTAGAAAGTTACCTCAAATTCAGTCACTGTTGGAAGAAGGGCTTCCTTCCTCTCTTTCTGAGCTAAAATTATTTAGCAATCATGATCTCCATTCACTACCGATCGAAGGTCTTCAGCGCCTCACGTGGCTTCAACGTCTAGAGATTTGGGAGTGCCCTAATCTCCAATCTCTTCCCGAATTGGGGTTGCCCTCCTCCCTCTCTGTGCTGTGCATTTGGAATTGCTCTAATCTCCAATCTCTTCCCGAATCGGGGTTGCCCTCCTCCCTCTCTGTGCTGTGTATTTCCGGATGCCCATTGCTCAAACCAATCCTAGAATTTAACAAGGGGGAGTACTGGCCGAAAATTGCTCATATTCCCACCATAGATATTGATGGGGAATACCAGTAATGATTAAAAAAATTGGTGCTCTGATAAATTGTAAGTTATAATTCTCTATTTTTTCATTTAATTTTTTGTTTACTTCCCTTTTCTTGCTTGTTAATTCTTTTCCTTTGTTAAATCCTTGAGCAGCACAAAGCGTCTATTGCCACTGTGAGGCTGAGGATTTATCTTTGGATCGGGATGAATTTAATTTTAGATGACAGCAAAAAAGGTGATAAAATGAAAGCTGGTATATGTAGGAATTGAAATTATTTGCTTCGGAAAGTTGATAGCACTTCATGTATTCTTGTTCTTTCCGTTTTTCAGTGAGTTAGTTGATCAAAGGACTAAGGAGAATGGAGGTTTAGAGTAATGCACATGTTCACTCATAAATGCATAGCTCTAATAGAATTCAGAGGTATATAAGACACAAAGTAATGCACATGTTCACTCATAAATGCATAGCTCTAATAGAATTCAGATGTATATAAGACACAAAGTAATGCACATGTTCACTCATAAATGCATAGCTCTAATAGTAGTGTTGAACAGTGTGGATCATCTATTGCCACTGTGTGGAGTGAAGCATTTTCATTCTAATTTTAGATGACAAAAAGGTGATATGTTGCAACTATTGTAATCTTTAAATTTGCTCTGAGTCTTCTTTTCATATCTCCTTCTTTTTTTTTCTATTAGCTTGGCTTGTATTGTGCAGTTCAACCTTGATTAACATTCAATTGCTCTACCAAGTTCACCGGCTTAAAAACGTTCACTTGAATGGACTACATCTAGGTTTTCTTCTAACTTATCAAAGAAATGTATTGCTTCTTTTTCCCATGGGTTGAGGAAGGAAGAGGTGGTTTAGACTTTATTATCTGATCTAAACCTAACCATCTTTTTTCTTTCTTTGTCAGGTTTTTGGTAACATGTTATAAGCTATTCCAGCTTCTTTAGTCAGTTGTGCTGAAATTCTTTATTGCATAGACAAATATCAGCTCAACAGTGATCTGTCCGCAGAGTGTAGGTGAAGAAAGGTACCTTCTCTTTTCTTTCATCAGTCTGAGAAGGAGTTTTTCTTGTATGAAACTCTGATGGTTTTTCACTGCTCCAGCTGCACTTCGAAATTGAGAAACTGTAATTGCTCAAATTCCCATTGTATCATTTTGTGCCTTTAACAGGTAAACATGTTTACCGCGAGATTTCCTTTCCAGCAGTATGTCTAAAATGTGCTTCTCTGGTTCAAAGAATGACTACGCTGGAAATGCTGAACCTGCATTTAGACCAGCAGTGTTACAAGGTCAAGTTGATATGTCCAGATGGTGTCATCCACGAGTTTGGTAATACTGCCATCCTCAATATTACTCGGTTGTGCGCGAGTTTGAAGCATCAGATGGAATTTTATTTTGTATGTATGATGTTATTTCAAGTTATGCATAAGATCTTAGTTAAGGTGAAGCAGCAAATATTGCTATTTTGTCCTTAAGAATGTTGAGGATTGAGATTATAAGTGTAATTACGAAAGATAAAGTTGGACCTCTTTATAATGACGGACATATTTTTGGCTGCTATAGCGAATGATTGTTATTGTTACACACCATAATAACATTTGACGTTGATCTTATTTGACGGTTATTTTTTATAAAAGAAATAGGCAAGAAGTGATTTTTCTCCAACTTCTTTTATGTTGCTGAAGAAAACAAATTATACTTGAAACTAGTTGTATTGTACCTACAAAGAATTAAACTATCTAAACCACATACTATTTCTTTTAAAACTAATTCATATTAAATATTTTAATACGTAGAAAGTTTATGTATACTATCTAGATAACGAGTTGTTGGGAAATTATGAATATACGATAGACATCATTCACCTTCCATAATGCAATTTTATATATATATATATATATATATATATATATATACCAAAACACTAAAGTTTGTAATATTACGTATTTTACCAGATTTTGGTGCATCCAGATATGTCTAGATACGTCCATATACATATATAATGGAATTGGGGGATATTCTTAATGCATGACCTTGTCAACGATTTGGCCCAAGTTGCAACTTCAAATTTGTGTATGAGGTTGGAAGACATCAACGCATCTCATATGTTGGAACGAACTCGACATTTGTCGTATTCAATGGGTGATCGTGATTTCGGTAAACTGAAAACCCTCAACAAATTGGAGCAATTGAGGACATTGCTTTCCATCAATATCCAGCGGCGTCCATGCCATCTTAACAAGAGAATGCTGCATGACATATTTCCAAGATTAATATCCATAAGGGCACTATCACTGTCTCATTATCAGAATGATGAGTTGCCAAATGGCTTGTTTATCAAATTAAAGCACCTAAGATTTTTGGACCTTTCTTGGACATTTATAAAAAAGTTGCCAGATTCTATTTGTGTACTGTACAACTTAGAGACACTTCTGTTGTCACATTGTATTTTTCTTATGGAGCTACCTCTGCATATGGAAAAATTGATCAACTTGCGTCACCTTGACATTAGCGAAGGTCGTTTGGAGACACTGCTACATCTAAGCAAGTTGAAAAGTCTCGATGTTCTAGTGGGAGCCAAGTTTCTTCTAAGTGGTCGTAGTGGTTCGAGAATGGAAGATTTGGGTGAACTGCATAACTTGTATGGATCTCTATCAATTCTAGAGTTGCAACATGTGGTAGATAGAAGGGAATCTCTGAAGGCAAACATGAGGGAAAAGAAACATGTTGAAAGGTTATCTTTGGAGTGGAGCGGAAGTTTTGCTGACAATTCACAAACTGAAAGAGACATACTTGATGAGCTACAACCAAATACAAACATAAAAGAAGTCGAAATCACTGGATATAGAGGGACAAAATTTCCAAATTGGCTTGGTGATCATTCATTTCATAAGCTAATAAACTTGTCTCTTAGCAACGGCAAAGACTGTGATTCCTTGCCAGCGCTAGGACAGCTTCCTTGTTTAAAATTCCTTACCATTAGAGGGATGCATCAAATAACAAAGGTGACTGAAGAGTTCTATGGTAGTTCGTCCTCCACAAAGCCATTTAACTCTCTTGAGAAACTTGAATTTGGAGAGATGCCGGAGTGGGAGGCCCTATGGACATGACGATTAAAGATCAAAACTCAAAATGCTCTCGGTGAAACGAAACTGAATTGTAATATAAATTGAGCCAAATCTTCAAAGATTTGTGTTAATGTTTTTTCAGGTACTTTTTTTCGTAATATGATTCTGATAAGAGCACATGAAACTGATGGGTCATATGATCCGACCATGTTATATATATAATGTTAATTTATGAGGAAAAACGGATGGTGATGTTTGAAGATGCATTGAGGTGAATCCTAAGTATCCTATCTTGATTTAACAAATACTTAACTGATGCCATTGATGTTGACAGTGTATGTTGTTGATTCACATGGTAATATTGAGGGCTGGTTTACATTCAGGCAACTCAGCTAATTAGCATATTCCACCAAAAGAGTTTCAGTTGTGGACTGTGTAATCAGTGAAAAGTCCAATGTTTGTAGGCACAAGACTTGTCAAGTTTGCCATTACTGCTTCTGCTGATGTTTCTTGCTCGAGGTGAACCCCGACATAGCACAAACAGTTCCTTGTCTATTCAATGATTGGTCATCCAATTGTTAATATGTGCTTCACTGGTGATATTAGGAAAATCATTTTATGAGCTAAAACTTCTCTAAAGAGACGTGTATGTTTAAATAAGTTGTTTGAAGTTAGACCTTATGCGAGCTCAATTGAAATTTTTATTCACAGCGTAGCTTCCAATTCAACCTTAAATCACCAGTATGCTGGTATCCCTTTAGTATGAAAAAAAAGAAGGTAAACAAGAACACTATAGACAAAATCTGGTATAGGCAGGAATTGGAATATACATTTTGCAGTTGTTTAATAATCAATAGAAACGGTCTGTTACTTATTAACGTTTTCTACAATTCTCTTGTGAGTTCTAACATATTGAAATGTTGTAACGGATACCGTAAAACCAAACAATAAAAAGGTTATACAATTACAACAAATGATACGATCTATTCAAACACTCCAGCTTCAAGGTTCATCATTTTTTTTAATTAAACCATTTTACGAGTTCAGAATCCAATTTTATCAACCTATATCATTTCCTGATTATAATAGGAATTCACAAAAGAGCAGTAATGTCATGCCCCGAGCCTACACCCTGGACGTGGCCGGCACTCGAAGACCATCGCTGGCCCCCAAGCGAACCCTTGGCCTGACTTACTTAACTCAGCGGAAACCTAACTCAATAGAATAACTTCAAGCAATGAAAGGTCATAAGACAACCTAACTGATAAAAATCTGGCCAAAAAGCAACTCGAGTCTCAAAATAGAATATTTACATATATACATAGATGAGAGACTCAAAACTAACTGATTGACTGTCTATGAAGCCTCTAAAATACTGAGATGGATGTTGGGATAGACCCCGCAACATCCTAATAAAACAAAACTAGGAACACAAAGTATCCGAGTCCTCCGGAATGCAAAGTGGCTCACCACGGACTCTGGAGTGCTCAACTGGATCAACGGCGTGCTGGATGTTGATCCTGGTTACCTGCGTCTGCATCATAAAACGATGCAGGCCAACTGACATCAGTACATGGAATGAACGAGTATGTGAGCTGGACCGCTAAACAACAACTTAAGCTTGAAAGGGATACAAAAGAGAACTTACCTTGGCTCTGTTCGACTCATGAATAACTGAACTCAATATAAAGCAATGAAACGCATGCAATATGTATAAAGCTTGTAAAACTATTTAAAATATGACGTGAAAATCATATTTATAATATCATGAAAATACCATTGATGTGAGGCCAAAAATATATATTTTAATCATTATTTGCCTCACATTTATTATTTATATTTGTCCTTTTTGAGCATGAATTTTATGAATTGTGCTAAATAGTGTATTTTATTTGTAGGAGTAAATTGGTGTAAAGCTGAAGAAGTTTGGAGCTAAAATGAATTAAATATGGAAAATTGAAGAAGGAAATCAAGCAGGCAGCTTAATGAATTATACTTTATAAAATAATATATATTTTGGTGGAAGTAGAATTGGAATTGGAATTGAAAATTCCACGTGGCATCATATGAAGAACGAAGATGGGCAGGAAACTCGGCAGAGCACGGATTACGCGTACAGGAATTCTTATTCCGATTGGATTTGGATTCCTAATTTGTTTTGGACTCAATTATTTTATTTAGGGTTTCTTATCTCTATAAATAGTCCATAGAAATAATTATAGAGAGGAATGAACAATAGAAGACCAATATAGAGTAAGGAGGAGGCACTTTTGAAGAAAAAATCGTCAATACGTTTTAGGGTTCTTTTCTTCTTCTTCTTCTTATTTTCTTAGAGATTAGTAGCTAAAGCCCTTGTTCTAGGGCTGTAGCTACGGATTCAATGTTGATTATTTAAGGTTTTCGAATTAATTCTTGGTTGTCATTATAAGTTACTTCTATATTCTTGTTTTAGTATTTTGTGCTTGATCACCATGAGATAAATATATTGTCTAATCTTAAAATCGAACGAGGAGGGATTAGATAGATCAGAGGATATAGAGAGCTCGGTCCACCCATTAGATTGAGGTGATTAGTGTTCAGGAGTGATGCCCAGACGAACACCTTGCTTGGTTATGGAATAGGATAAAATATAAATGCTCGTCAGTTAGTTTATCTATCCCCGCTCAACGATGTAGTTAGATGGCTAATTGGGGTAGGCGGCGAGAGGCGAACCACCCGGACCATACTATCAACCCTATAAACCAGTAACTTGACAATTGAAATTAATTCTAAGCCAAAAATATGATACATGAAATCCTATACATGCTGCAGCCCTGGGATTTTCCAACTATTGTAAGTAATTTTATTATTTGTTCTTGCATTCTTCTCTTTTGGTTCTCTTAACTAAATAAATTAGATCAGTATAATTTAGTAAAAATAGTTAATTGACAAGTCCTTTGGGTTCGATAATCTGGTTCTTTTAAGAGCCACTATATTACTTGCGCGACCGCGTACACTTGCGTGTGCAATTGGGAGCAACAACCATGCTTCCTCTCAAAGTCTACTTGTGCAATGCATGAATGAAGTCCCATACCCCCATCCATACTAAGCAGAACCCCTCGAGGAATCATGCAATTTCTACTGTGAGAGTTCTCTAACCGACAGTCACCACTACATGCTTAAGTAGTGGTACAACGTTTTACCTCACGTTGCCCAAGGACCATCCTATACCTTGCCGTGATATAGGAAGCTAACTTTACTAAGTGGATACACTAGCTTAATTTTTTACGTGATCATCTAAAAAGTATAACCCATTAAATTCCATGTTGGCCGCATGGTTCTTATGGAGAGTTGAGTTAATATGAACTCGTGTCCCCAACTCAGTGCTCAAGACTACTCCCAAAAATATACTTTAGCTCATAAGTGTTTTAAACTCGACTTTCTTTAATTGAGATAATTACTCAAAACTTAGCCCAAAGGCTCTTGAAAACTCTTTCTAAAAAGAACATCTCAAAACCATATTTTAATATGATCATTGATGACTCGGGATATTCATATTGCTTAAACATTGATGGTATATCTAGAGACCATACTGTTTAAACATTGATGACATACTCGATTTGTCATACTAATCATGTTTTAGAAACTCTTTCGCAAAACTCATCTTTTCTCAAAAAGAGATAGTACTCAAACTTCTCGAAACTCTTTTGGAAATCTCAGTTTCCTCTCGTCTTAAATGTGAAAACATTTATAAACTTCTTTGGGAATACTTAGTTCCCTATTAGCTTTTGAGAAATGAACTCCACTTTATGCTCTTGACTTAACTTGAAACTTGAGACTCTTTACTTAACTTGAAACTCTATATACTCCTTACTTGACTTGAAACTCTATACTTAACTTGGAACTCTATACTTAACTTGGAACTTGAGCCTTAAAATGAAGTTAAAACGTTCAATAAAGACTCTTGAATAACTTTAAAGACTTGCTTTGACTTGCTTAATTTCTAAGCTTGACTTCTAACTTCACTTGACTTTGATCCTAACTCACCTTGAATTGGATTATGGATTCAAGGGTAATGATCTCATGTTTATGACACTTCTCATTCTCTTACTCACTTGCTCGAGTCTTGAAACAAGTTACGAGAAATTGTAGACGACTCCTCAAAAAGACTCAAAGGGATTTCCTTAGAATATTCGAAAGAATTCTCAAAACATAACTCTCAACTCTACCTTGAATTTGAATTATGAATTCAAGATTATGATCATGTTAGGAGTGACTTTTAGGTGTTTAGAAGTAGCTTGGAGTAGTTAGAATCGAAAGGAGTGAATGTGCACTTTAAATGAACTCAAACGGGGCAACCGACGACAAACTGGATGGGGCAGGTGACCCTGGCGCTATGGGTGGCGCGGGGCGCCAGCCCCTAAACTTTGGAGGTAGGTTTGGGGCGCTCTGGCAGGCGCATCGCGCCAGGCCCCCAACCCAGAAATTTCAGCAAGTTTATTTTCTCGTTTTCTCACCTTATTTCGCCTAAAATCGAATGGTTTCTTCCCCAAATCACTTAGAATCATTAAAACCCTCAACATACAATAGATTCAACTCAAAAACACAACCGGAAATATGTCTCAAATCAACAAGGGACTTCAACAACACAATCAACAACATCAACAACACAACCCAACAACTTCAACAACATAACCAATCTTTTCTCGAAAATAAAACGAGCTTGGCGTGTGGGGGAAAGGATCAACCCAACACTATGAACTCACATACCTTAATAGGAATCACCCCCGACGATACCACGACGATCTCCTTGCTTGATCTTCTCTTTCTTCTCTTCTTCTCCTCTTCTTCTCTTCTTCTTCTCTTCTTCACTCAAAACCCTCACTCTCACTCTTTTAAAATGGTAAAAATTGATAAAAATATCAGTCTAACACATTTATATAACCAAAAGAATTGATTTTAGAAAAGACCAAAATGCCCTTAAAATTTCCGGACGGATACCCTGCCAACTGCCCAACTTCCAAAGGGGATAACTCACTCATATGAACTCTGAATCAAGAAAA